AGAGAAGGCCGCAAACCAGTTGTGAGGACGAAAATGCGTGTGCGCGTTGGGCGCACTACCGAAAAAGGCTTTCGCCCCGCTTTATATATAAAGCAACGACCAACAACAACCCGGTACAAACGCACGCCACCACAACACACGCACACACCCGAGGCAAGATACATAAGCGCTGAGTGCAGCAACACCACTCCAAGCACTACAAGAGCAACTGGGTCCTCGACCGTGAACACGCCACCGCGAAGAGATGAAGCCGCATATGACGAACCGTGGGCTCCAAGGCGGTGCCTTCAGGAAGGATACGACACCAGAGCGCCGCCACCGCCCGACCCGAGAGTCAGAGTTTCCCCTGGAGCAACACGACGGACAATGATGGTCGCGACGACGCCTTCAGGAAGGGAACGAGCTTCGCCGCCGCCGGTCCGTCCGAAGATGGAACAGGTTTTCACCCCGGCCAATACTCACCGCCACCGAACGCCACACCCCGGCGACCATGCCGCCCACATGACCATGGTCACAGGGCAGCGCCCAGGCATGGGCTTTGCCCATGAGCACCGTGACACCACCACCAGGGCCGCCGCCCCGGCATCCACGACCTCGACGCCACCTCACCAGTTACCCAGCGCCACGCCATCTATAGAGACGGGTGGAAAGGCCTCACCTTTCGCACCCCTAAGCTGCCCCCAACCAGCCGCCATCGGCCCGTCCTGCTGCCGGGCGCGAGACTAGCGCGGTCCTTCTACCGGGCGCGAGACGGCCACGGTCCTGCTACCGAGCACGAGACGGCCGCGGTCCTGCTGCCGGGCGCGAGACGGCCGCGGTCCTGCTGCCGGACGCGAGACGGGTGCGGTCCTGCTGTCGGGCGCGAGACGGGCGCAGTCCTGCTGCCGGGCGCGAGACGGGCGATGGACCACGGCTGGGAAAAGCCCAGTCCATCAACGGAAGTGGATCGCGGGCGACGGGGAGAGGAATCGAAGGCCGCCGCACGCCGCCTACGGACGAACCGACGCCGAAACATGCCAGCCGCCGCCGCAGCCGACTTGCCAAGCTACCGTGGAACCCTCACGGCCGGAGCAGCAGCCACACCAGGCCACTGCCCATCCCACGCCGCCCGCCAGACTCCAGGCATTGAATCCGCAGGGCACGCAGCCACCAGATCGGCCAGCGCACCGGTCGCACCACTTGCGCCGCCGCACACACCACCGCACCTGCGCCGCCACCTCCCCCAGCCAGGATGGCCAAGGCAGAGGAGGCCGCCCGTAGCCGCGCCGCCCACGGCCCGCGTTGCCCGGAGGGCCAGATCCGGTCGAACCGCCACCGCATCCCGCCCCCAAGCACGCCCCCCACACGACGCCCGTCACGCTGCCGCCACGCCACCGCCACTACACCAGCGCGCCGCCGCGCTGCCGCGCCCGCCGTCAAGCGGGGCTCCCCGACCCGCCGGCCTCGGCCCACCCCGAGCTCGACGCGAGAGGGGACAAGGACTCCCCGCCTCCGCCAACGACGACCAGGCTTCGCCTGGCCACGCCCTCGGGCGGCGGCGAGGGGAGAGGGGAATAGGGAGGGGGGACCCGGCTGGCGGCGGCTAGGGTTTCCTCCCGGTCGCGCGTGGGGCGACTCGGGAGGGGAACGGGGGAGGAACCCTGGGGGCGCACTACCAACCCAAATGCGAAAGGAAGCAGACACACCGACCCAAACATACAAAAAACGAACAAAACAAGCGTCCTTTTGGGTCTGCGCGTTGGAGTCTCTCTTACCCCTGACCACATCTGAACCGCCCTAAAGGAAGCTGCGCTCTAGCTTTTGGACCTTCTAAATGAGCGAAATGGGTTGGTCAATTATCATCATCTAATTCTAATATAGAGGCGTGGCCAGAAATTTGCTTCTAGCTAGCAACCAGCTAACCTGTTCCGCATCAGTTCTATCAAAGCTTGGTAATCAGCTCTAGTTAGTCTTCTATCTGAGAAGGGAAATTCAGGAACTTGGCATCCAAAGGTTGTCGCAAGGTAAAGGAGATCCACACCATCGTCACATGCAATAGGCGATAAGGAGACCTTATGGCGAATTTGATATGTTGTCCAGCAGCTTCACCTAATAAAGAGAGAATGGTTCTACTGTGCTCGCATCTTATCAACGTTGATCTTTAACTAGTAACCTTAGCTCTGCTGGTGGTGGACTATGGTGACTGACTAACTATAGTGTACATACATGGGATAAAGAGAATAGCAAGGAACCCCGCATGACCATGGTGACTGACATGTAACACAAAAGCCATACTGCCATATAGTATTAGATTCTCTATAAAAGGGTGTTATTGCAGGACTAATGGCACATAAAATCTATGAAAAAGAATTAATTACTATTGTGCCACATAAAACTCAGGAATGCAACAAAAAAACACCCGATATTATGGTATGTACTGAAAAAAACTGGAGAACTGACAGAAAATGAGATCCGAACTACCACAGTATAAACATCAGATATTATCTAGTGCATACCCAGCCAAACATCATACTCACACAGTGATCCACATGACACATCCAAGTCCGCAAAAAAGAGTTTCATAATAGTCATTGTGGCCAAGAGTTGGGCATGTTGCTTAATTACCGATGGGAGAAGACAAACGGAATTGACATGACGAAGGCTACTGGAAAAAATTTCATATGGTAGTATCAAAACAGAGCGAAGACTGATTTCTTTATCATGTAAAAGGCGAACACAAATCACAACAAGCATTAAAAGGGAAACCAAACAAGGTATTCTATGAACAATCACGAGGATTTGGATCATTTGCCCCACTTTACATAGGGTTTGATGATTTGCCCCTGGGTTATGTCAATGACT